TAGCTTGAGAGTGTAGTGGAAACCGCGTAAGTTAAGACCAGTACGTTCGTATTTCAGTGACAGAGAGGAGATTAAAATAAGTCAGCGTGTAGACTGCGGATTATCGGCTTTGTTTTGGAGATGAAGGGAAAAGAGCGGTCGCCGGTGAAGAAACGCTCTCGGGCGCCAGATGACGGCAGAGACCGAGGAGGAAGCAAGAAGAGCGGAGCTCTGTCGACGGTTGGTAGCAACAACGGCAACGGCGCTGCATCCAGGAGAAGTTTACACAGCGAGAAAAGAGACATGAGGGATTCAGACGGACATAACTCAACCACTCGGACTAGTAGCGGTTACGACTACGGAGTTGTTTCGGGGAACAAGCCGTACGGAGGCGCTGAAGTCGACGCGGAAACATCCAGGACCGCTTCACGCAGCGACCCGCGGCCTCCGTCAACCCCCGAAAACGAGTACAAGACTCTGAAAATAAGTGAACTGGGCAACCAGCTGAACGAGGAGGAGATAGAGGATGGGTTGTTCCACGAGTTTAAGAGGTTTGGGGACGTCAGTGTGAAAATATGTCGAGAAAACGACGACAGGGTGGCGTATGTCAACTTCAGGAGGCCGGATGACGCGCGGTCAGCCAAACACGCACGCGGCAAGCTGGTGCTGTACGACCGGCCTCTGAAGATAGAGACGGTTTACACGAACAGACTCAGGAGCCGCTCCCCTGTTTCTAAAGACAGTTTCTCTCCAGGACAGAGGCATCCCCACTCTCAGAGGAACCTTTCTCCCACTGGTATGGGATTCAGAGACTACCGACTACAGCAGCTGGCTCTGGGCCGTCTCCCTGCTGCCCCTCCTCCTCCTCCTCCTCCACCGCCACCTCCTCATGTCAGAGATCTGGAAAGAGACAGAGATTTTTCAGTGTACGATGCCAGGAATAATAGGCCCCCGTTCATCCCTGAGTGTGCTGTTTTCCGTGAGGAGGATGTGATGACCCCTGAGGATGACCATAGAGCAAACAGGACTTTGTTTCTGGGAAATCTGGACGTCGGTGTGACGGAGAGCGACCTGCGGAGGGCGTTTGACCGGTTTGGGATGATAACAGAAGTGGATATAAAGCGGGCAGTGAGAGGCCAGGGCAACACCTACGGATTCATCAAGTTTGAGAACCTTGACATGGCTCATCGTGCCAAAGTAGCGATGTCAGGGAAAGTGGTGGGCCACAACCCAATTAAAATTGGCTATGGTAAACCCACACCCACGACCAGACTGTGGGTGGGGGGCCTCGGACCCTGGGTTCCGCTCGCTGCACTAGCCAAGGAGTTTGACCGCTTTGGTACCATCAGGACTATAGACTACAGGAAAGGTGAAGTGTGGGCTTACATCCAGTATGAGAGTTTGGATGCTGCTCAGGCCGCATGTACTCACATGAGGGGCTTCCCTCTCGGTGGCCCCGACAGGAGACTAAGAGTGGATTTTGCGGATACAGAGCAACGCTACCAGCAGCAGCAGCAGCAACAGCAGTACGTGCAGCTCCCGCTCCCCCTGCCGCACTATGACTTTGTTCCTGAGCCCTTTGCCCACCGCCTTACAGACTCAGTGAGAGTGAGGGACAGGTCTCCTCCACTTCCTGCTCGCTTCAGAGACAGGGGCCCGTACACCGGTCCTGACTGGTCCGGCTTGGGCATCCACGACAGGATGCGAGGAGCCGGCTTTGATCCCATAGATCGTCTTGAGAGGCGTCCCCATGAGGCCTGGTCCATAGAGCGTGATTTACAAGGCAGAGATCTAGCCCGCAAAAGGAGACATTTGGATGATGGCGGTCGGCTGGAGCATTTACCCGACAACATCGACTTTGGTCTGCGCCGTCGTGGCAACTCATTAGAACGCAGTCCTGGAGGGGGTAACCGAGATGGGGGACGCCACACTGACCCCGAACGCCTGTCTCGCTCTGGTAGAAACTCCCCCGCCAGAGAGCGCCAGAACACTGGCTTTGGAGACAAGAGGCGAAAAACGCTTAGCCCGGCTGCGCCAGGCTCCTGCTCGGAGAAGGACCGCAAACTCAAAGCAAGTGACTCATCCAAGAGCCCAGCTAAGAAGGAGGATCTCTTAGAAAATCTTCCCTCCTCTTATTCCTCCAAGTCTGGACAGCAGTCAAAGCCGGCAGCTGGAGGACAAAAGCTGAGTCAGGTCTGGCAGGGCGTCCTCCTGCTGAAGAACAGCAGCTTTCCCACATCCCTGCACCTGCTGGAGGGGGACCTGGCAGTGGCTACTGGTCTGCTGCAGCAGGGCTCCACAGGGGGACAAGCGTCCCAGCTGAAGATCAGCCAGCGCCTGCGCCTGGACCAACCCAAGATAGACGAAGTTTCACGTCGCATCAAAGCTGCCGGCTCCAGCGGATACGCCATCCTTCTAGCCGTGCCCGGGAAATGTGAAGACGGAGGGATCCAGGACGACAACAGCTCGGCGGAGAGACCTCTGAAGAACCTGGTGTCCTACCTGAAGCAGAAGGAGGCCGCTGGCATCATCAGCCTCCCTGTGGGGGGCAGCCGTGGCAAGGACCACGGAGGAGTCCTGCATGCTTTCCCCCCGTGTGAATTCTCACAGCAGTTTGTGGATGCCTCTGCCAAAGCCTTTGCCAAATCAGATGATGACTACATGGTGATGGTCATTATCAGAGGAGCGTCATGATGGAAAAAAAAAAAAAAAAAAAATCTAAATGTCTCTTTTCACACTCATGAACTGTTAAACAGGGAGAAGTAATAACAGAGTAACAGGAAATGATGATTAATGATAACTTTATATTCCCTAACCTGCATGGTAGCTTGTATCTCGTCCTGTTGAAGGTTTATAGAGTTGAAAGGCACGTTGAATTTCAAATGTTTTGATGAGTTGATAAATTTCATTATTAATTCAGGTGACACGCTACTTTCTGCTCTTTAGTTATCAGATTAATGTACATTACTTGAAGGGTACTCCGCTAAAGTAATTCAGAGCAAGCTACAGTTCTGTGAATCAATGCTATATTTTGCCATATCTCATTTAAATAGAAACACAATATGATTTCATACAATGCAATGAGTATTTTGCTTTAAATTAATCTGTAATCCACATGGATTTAACCGGCCAGTTTCGACACATTTGTAGTGCTATAATGTTTGTGCAGTCAGCCTTTGAAAAAATGAAACTCGTGCATATGATTTAGGATGTATATCCATTTGCGCTAAAGCTTTACCATTGCTCATTAATAGGATTACTCCAGATGTGCATCTGTATTACTTTTTTGTTGACCAAGTAAACGTTTTGATTCAAAGTGTCATTATATAACAGCTTTTCTATTTTTGGCACTTTTGGCCAGTTGTGCTTAAAGCTAAAGACAATTGTGGAAATACATTGTGTTAAAATTCAGCATTACAGGTTTCAGTACAATAGATTACATTAATATCAATGCTCCTGTCTGAGCCACATCTGGAGGTCTATGTGACATAAGGTGAAGGTTCCACTCAGCATTGGTAGATGTATGTCGGGGTGGACACGCGCAGCAGTCACCTGTACATCAGAATGCAGTTCAACACAACAACCTTGCAAAGAGCACTGCCCTTATGAAGCTAATTATGTTTAGTTTTGGTTTAAATTTTATTTAGAGAGCCGATTTTAAGCTCTATGTTCATTTCTGACCCCAAGGTGTGCTATTGAACTGCATTGCATCATAAACTAATATTTAGCGCTGGAACTGATGGTTATTTTCATTATTGAATAAGCTACTGGTTCTTTTCTTGGTTAATTGGATTATTACTTGGTCTATAAAAAGGGTGATGTTTTAATGTCTTCAAATAGCATTTTATTGTCCAACCAACTGTCCAAAACTCAAAGATATATCAACAGATAACTGATTGATTAACCAATTATCATAACTGTTGTAGATAAAGTATCTATCAACTGACTAATCAAGCTGCGCAGAGATAATATATTGTATTTCTGATCACATTATACAGGGTTGCTTCTGCGTCCACCCCTTTTTATATTGTGCTTTTATTGGCATATTCAATTTAGTTGAACAGTAATTGGTTGATCAAATTCTTCACTTCTCTTATGTTATAATCCATTAATAACAATTACTACCCCAGCAAAGTATGTACTGTTTATGAAGATGATATAACCTATAAATTAAAAGGCTCTATTTAGGTTTATTCCTGCTCATCTCTAATGACTGATCAGTAGTTCTGACGTAGAACATGTTGCTCTTCTCTTAGTGGACTTCTGAATGAATGAGAGGAGAGAAGGCCAATCTCCAGTGGCCTTAGCCCCGCCTCCCTCTGAAAGGACTGTTAATAATTGTTTTTCCTGCTTTTGATTTAAGTATTGTGTTTCAAATGGAGAACAGAAATGATTTGTGCTGTATACTCAGGATATCTGGAAAGAGAAATGGAGAACATCAGTGCTCACGGGCCTAAGAAGTATACCTAACTGTCAAAGTGCAACAAGCACTTGATAGATTTTGTCTCAATAAATTTACTCTTTCGTGGGAAACACGACTGCCTTGGAAGACGACTTTTGTGACCTTTTCTGTTCTTGGAATTGTCTATCAAACTCTAAAGGCTTTATCACTTTGACAGCAGGAGCCGTCCCTCAGAAAGGAGAGAAGCAATGGGAGGTCAACCTCTCGCTTCTGAGTTTTCATTTTGTTGATCATCATTTGTTGAATGACTTCTTTGTGAGGAGCTTCATTCAAAGTGAAATTGGCCACACTAGAATGCTTTTTTTTTTTTTTTTTCAGTCCTTCTGCAAAGGCAAATCCAGAGTCACTCTCTCTCTTCAGATATGTGGCTCATTCCTTGGTCTCCTCTGGCCCGTTTGTCCGGAGGTGGGCCTGAGAAACCATCTGGTTTGTCGCTCGCCATGTTTCGCCAAAATCACGATGCGACAAGCCTCTCGGTGGAAGCAGGGCGGCGCTCGAAGGCCCTCGGTCTGCGTCCTGATCCGGCTCCAGCGGCACAGAGTATTGTTTGAGCGTCTGCAGCCGCTCAAGGAAGGAGTAGAGTTCATTTGTCTAGTTGCTTGTTGTTCTTGCATTGGAGTTTTGAAGAAGATCTCTGTGCTAGGGCCAGACGTCGCGTCTCATCCAGTGCCGGAGAAGAGGAAACACAACCGAGGAGAAAAGCTGGCCAAAGTCCCGTGCAAGGGATTCAAAATAGTTTGTTGATATGTTGATCTGATTAACACACTTAACTGCATATGAAAGCAAAGGGAAGAGTGTCCTGAAATCATTGAGTCAGGACGTTTATCATCAAGAATGTTCCTGCTCCTCACGGCTTCATCTCCAAACAAGAGGAAGCCGAGCAGCTCCGAGTATCCACGCTGTGCCGCGGCCAGGATCCAAGGTTCTGGTGCTGTAAAAGGTTTGAGTCTCACCTGCTGGACCTGCTCCTGCTGCACAGGTAAAGTATCAAGATGACCTCAGCTACTGACCTGGGTACGTATTCAATGTGCAAGACTACTGCAAACACACCCAGGCCCTTTTTAAATTAATGTCCCTGAAATACATACCAAACTAATACCCACAATGCACTGCTTTTGTTGGGACAGCAACATTTTTGAGGTCTTAGTTTAAGTAGATATCCTGTAAGTCAATGCTGATGAGGGTCGACTTAGGACTTCATATATTTGTATATTTTCTGACACTTCTGTTTGTCAAATTACAAATGATTTTGCAGCGTTGGTCACAGATCCAGTCCTAGTCAGTGGTGGAAGAAGTACTCTGATGCTTTATCTAAATATTGAGGGCCACAGTATATTTTATGAGGGAGTCATGTGTTTTGTATAATCAGTAACTATATCTGTCTGATATGAAATGTGACCTTCCACCACTGGTCACAGCTGAATGTCAATAAGTAGCAGCACAAGGACACGTGTAGACACGAGAGACCAGAGGAAAGCTGCACTCGTGAGGAAGAAGTAGTTTAAGTTCAGCTATTTAAAGTTATGAGAATGAATGAATAGAAAAAGATGTAAAAGCTTTGTGGTCAGATAGGTTTAGATGACCTTTAATCACATGATGAGAACAGAAACTAGAAGCCGGAGAGCTAACACTGAAATTGGGACGAGATAACTGAAACCAGGGCAGTAAAGGTCAGTGAAACGGTGGAAGTTAGTGACCTCATGCTTTACCTGTAGTTAACCTGCGAGCTGTACAAGGTGGAGTGAACACAGTCGGCGCCTGCTTCTCTGTTCTGTGTCCCGCCCCTGATTTTATCTTCAGTCACAACAACCTGAAGGACTTTCTTGTTTTATACATGAAAGCTGCCAATGAACGTAACGAGTCTAAAACATACCACAGACTAACAGCCTATGGTGTATTTACTGTGTATTATTAGCCTGCGTTGTCAAAATGATGTACACTTTCTAGAATTTGAGCACTTTCAAACAAATCTCTTGATCCTGTTTAATGTGAAATGTGCTCTGTGTGTGATATACACCCTAAATGTAGAGCTAACCCAAAGATGATCAGGTGATGGTGAATACAACATGATGTTACTATTTCTTCCTTCACTCTTTTATTTCTTTTCTCTTTTTTTTTTCACCAGCACCTAAACGTTTTTCTTAATAATGTGATCTGTTCATAATTTAAATGTTGAGTATTTCAGGTCGTCGCCTCAGTACGGAGACAAGAAAGGAGGAAACTCTCTGAAAAGACTCTTAATTACCTGCAGTGTGACTGAAGGAGCTCTGTGCAGCTTTAGTGAACTCTGAAGTTAAGAGTCTAACTCAAGGAACTCGTCAGACAAGAGGAACGATGCCTCGGTGAGTACAATTTAAATGTTTTAAAATGTACACTTCTCAAATTTAACCTGTTGGTATTCTATTGTAATAATGTAAACTGCATTTGTACTTGAATAAAAGCAGCTTTTCTTGAAACACATTCTGACGTCTTTCTTCATTTTCTTGTCTTATGTCAGCCTGTCAATCCTCTAGAGGGCAGAGTTAAACTACCAGAGCACATGAACACAAGTAGACGTGCTGTTGGGGGGGGGGGGGGGATGATACAGTATCAGTATTCCTTTTTCAAAGTAATGCGATCAGCTTATCCGGTTGATTTATGGTTGACAGCTGAGGAATTTTATTTTTAAATATTGAACTTATTTCACACTAATGTCAATAACATTTGGTCTACATGGATTTACTCTTTATCCTTTAAAAGCCATTAATGCTTGAAACGTTCCTCGATGTGACAGCCCACTACTTCCTGACGCAGAGGGACCTTTACACTTTCTGTATTCAATAACAGTTTACATTTCTTTCTGTAAGTGCACACAGTAGATGAGAAAAGTCAACAGAAACTCATTCAGAGCGCCGTCTGGGAAAGGTCAAAGCTCTCCAGTCTGTCCCCACTAATAAAACACACTTGTGACTCTGAGAGAAGGTGCCGAATGAAACTTTCTTTTAGATGATCATGTCAAATGAAGGATGCATGTTTCAACCCTCTGATTGTCTGCTAACGTAAGCTTGATGCCACCTTAAAGCCTGACACGCGGTAACCTTTTTTGTTCAATCAGCTTTATCTTTCCTGCAGCACTTTGCTCCAAACAAACCCGTTTCTCCACCACCGAAAACTAAAACACAGAACCGGACTTCCCTTTCATCACACAGACTAACAGACGACCAAATCAAGTAGTTTCCTGATGCTGAAGGTTTGTTTTCATCACTGAGGTTTATACACGTTGGTTTAAGACAGGCCTGTAAATATAATGGACGTTTTCAACTATAACTCGTCACCATATTTATGTAGCGTATCTAAGCTTTGTTTGCCAAATATATATAGTTGTATTTTTTTAAATAATAATATCTTAATTTTAATTAATTAACAAACAGTCAATGGAAAAGGTGAAACTTGGTTTTTAGTCATTTATATTCAACAAACTGTTGACACGTAACTGTTTATTTAATTTCAGCTGAGTGTGTTGACTTCTAATGTGGATTTCTGGTCCAAGTTTACTTTGAATAAAGAACTGAGTAAACTTATATTATTTGCATAACGCTAAATTGATTGACATTAGATTAAAAGGCATTGGGATAAAAGTACTCTGCTCCTATTGTTTCCTTTATCTGAATTCACGTATTCAGCCCTCTGGAAGGTGGTTTCTTATCAGTTCAGCTGTTTTGAGTGTTCCTGTACGAAGGAGGAGTTGAGTCTAGTTTGACCTCCATATAAAAACAACATGCACTTCTGTGAGCTCTTCATTGGGCCGCTTTAGAAATAATGAAGTCTGCCTTTGTTTTACTGGCCTTCTTGGCTGTCTCACAGGGGATTATCAGGTACGATATACAACAAACTTTCACTTAAAATGAAAACAAGCTATTTACCATATTTTTGAGCGTTGTCGCTGAACGTGTTTTTCAATGTCAATAGATGTAAAATTTCAGAGTTTCTGATGAAATTCAGAGCAAATTACAACAGAATAGAGTGATGATGCTCACTAAGATTTATTTAAAGAATATTTAAAATGATATACGAAGTAATGAAATCCTGGTAAACTTTGCTAGGAATTTAAGACAATTTAGAGGTCAAATTAAACTGAAAACAAGTCTCAGAAATAGAACTGAGTAATTTTTTTTCACTTCTTTGATGGCCTTTATAAAGGATTAAGATTTTGAAAAGAAATGCATTCACACAAGTTAAGACATAAATAATACTTTAAAAACAACTTAAAGCAGTATTCATATTGTGGTATTACAATTATTTTGGATACACATTACAAACAGCAATTTTTAAGATGAGAATGATGAGGCAACAAGCTTTGACTTGATTTATTTTTTTCATCATGTGACACTCTGACTTGGTCCATATGCTGAATTAGTTACTGCATTAATTAATATTAGTTATTGTTACTGCAACTGCACCTGTCTGCATTGCTGCCATTGTTGTGTGAATGAGAGACAAAGTTAAATTGCTTTGGATAAAAGTGTTTAATAAATCTAACATTTATGATCAGCCCACCCCTCCGAGGCAAACTCTTGACCTTTTCTAGCTCAGAACTCTTTCATTTATTTTCCCGTCCTACTTCCCTAAATCACTCAGGCTGAAACTCCTTTTTAGGATAAGTTGTGAGGTCTGACTTTTTCTCAAAACATGTTTGTGAGCGTGCGTCCGGATAACTGTTGAACTGCCTGTTCAGGATTCCCCTAATGAGAGGGAAGTCAGCCAGGCAGCAGCTGGAGGAGAGAGGCCTGTTCGAAGTGTACAGGAGGACGTTTCCATACAACCCTGCAGCAAAGTTTCTCCCCACGAAGGAGCAGAGTGTGGTGCCCATGACCTTTGACCCAGATGTGAGTGGCATGTAACCACTGTGTGCTCTGCCCGGTGCAATCATAAAATACATGAGCTAACCAGATAATCTTATTTTGGGCAAAGACAACATACTATGGAGAGATTGGTATCGGGACTCCACCTCAGATCTTTAAGGTTCTCTTTGACACCGGTTCCTCCGACCTGTGGGTTCCCTCTATGATCTGCACCAGCTCTGCTTGTGGTGAGTTTAATGATGAAACATAATTTAACATAGTGATGATCTTGTATGTGTAACAAGCCACCAAATCCATTTATTGTTTCTGATGTTGAACTGGTTCACTTCTCTCATTTGATGTTTCTTTTTGTCATATATGATAGTAAACTCTAAAACCTTTGTTCTATTGGTCAGATCAGAGAAACAATTCGAATATGTCACTTCAGGCTCTGGGATATTATATTGCACTCTTTTATTATTTTTGGGGCACTTTCTTTAAACAAAAGGATTCATCTTAAATGAAAATACATGTTAGTTGCAGCCCTACTTCTTACTATATGTTCTGAATTGACAGTATGTGCACACTCTGAAGTCTTTGTGTATGAAGCAATGAGTAATGAGATGAACTCTCTGTCAGCTGTTTCTCTCTCTCTCTCTGTCACTAGACAAACATTCAAGGTTCAACAGCTCGGCATCCTCCACTTTTCAGGCCGGCACTAAGACATTCACCATCTCGTATTACAGTGGATATGTATCAGGGAATACTGGGTATGAACTCATAAAGGTGAGGATAAAACATTCACATTGCATTCTTTACCAACTGCTGACCAGTGGTGGAAAGTAACTCAAATATTCTTTTACTTAAATATTATGCTTTTTACTGAACTATATGTGTTTGAGAGGTACAATTACAAGTTACTTTACAGATTAATATTTGACATGAAAATTACTTTTTGGCGTGTGAAAAAGCAGTTTGTAGTTGATGCTCCTCCACACGTTTAAGACGTCTACGAGTTGCCATGCGTAGGTCTAAACTTGTCACATGGTTTCATTAAAGTCTTGTAATTATAAAGTCTTCTAATCTTTTTTTACATTAATATATCAGCACTTACTAAAGTAAAGGATCTGAGTACTTCTTCCACCACTGCTGCTGACATACACCATGCACATGTACCATGCAGTGCGTGATCTGTTTCCTATAACACTCTACAACTTGCACTTCCTAATCAGATAAGCAACCTCTACGTGGACCACCAGATCTTCGGCCTCACTGAAACAGAGTCAGATTTCCTGGAATTTGTGCCCTGGGATGGGATTCTTGGTTTGGCCTTCCCTGGGTTGTCCCATGTGGGAGGCACACCTTTATTTAACAACTTATGGAACCAGGGCAAAATCCCCCACAACGTCTTCTCCATGTACATGAGCGGGTGAGGTCTCATTTGAGTCACGAGCAGAGAAATAACAAAAATGCTGCAAATCTACGAACTGTTTTCCTTGTGCTGGATGGTGTTTTCACGAATAGTGCAGTGCTCATTTCCTTAAAAGAAAATCTCTGTGCCACTAGTTCTTCAGAGGGCAGTATGTTGATTCTGGGAGGGATGGATTCCTCATATTACACTGGAACCATGAATTGGATCCCTCTGTATAAGGCCACTAACTACTGGAACATCCAAATACAAAGGTAGCATCCTTTTCCGGTTTAAATGTCGTGTTTTAAACAACATGGCCACATCACAATTAACTTTATTTGGAGGTCTTCCTCTTGCCTTTGACGTATGTAGCGGATGCATTTGTTTCGATACTTCCTTCATGTTGCAGCATCACCATCAACGGGAACACCGTTGCATGTTCCGGGAGTTGTGCAGCATCAGTGGACTCCGGTACTTCTCTTATCATTGGCCCTGACAAAGATATTAACAACATCAATGGATGGTTGGGAGCCTCCTCAAATCCGAATGGTGATGTGAGTGTTTTTATTGTTTTGTATTATATTACATTTTTCAGCAAACTGCTCTGGGTTATAAAAGGTAACATGTTGTTATCTGTCTCTCAGGCTACAGTGAGCTGCGTTATCACAAATCTCTTGCCAGACATTGTGTTCAACATCAACGGCTACAGCTTTGCTCTTCCTCCATCTGCCTACGTCATACAGGTTTGTGCTTTAACCCCTTTCTAAGGCATACTTACAGAGTTAATAGTTGTAACTAATGGCTTTATCAATGTAAATTAAATCATGTATTAACAAATGAATAATTTAATTTAACAGTTCAAGAAGTAGCTTCAGCAGATTTATGTCAATATTCTAGTGTTTAGATATCCTGAGGTGATTAAGCTGATCTGCTGCCTTCAGTCCTGCTCTCTGTCCACTCTCCTCAGTCTGCGTCTGGGTGCAGAACAGGGTTTGCATCTGGCTCCTGGATCCTGGGTGAGGTCTTCATGCGGCAGTTCTACACTGCCTTCGACGTCAGCAACAACAGGGTGGGCTTTGCTCAGGCTGTGTGAATACAGGTGAAGAGCTGGGCCAGTTTAAAGTAATTTGCTTTATTTTTGTAACCATGGTTCACTGCAAAACAAACTCTCCTATGTTAGCACTCATATTTGTGAATGAATCTAATAAAATATTACCTTTCAGACCTTAAAGACAGCATCTCTCTGTTGTGAAGGAGGAATTCAGGGACTCAAATGCCTGTACAGCTATCGCAGAATATTCTGCAAAGGCAAGTATCAACCCAAATGTTTTACTCCAATATGGATCTATGCTTTGGTGGCCACTAGATGGCAGAGAACTCAGGGAGTCCTTCACCATTCATGTGATTCTCTTGGGAGTGGCCTGAGGAGAGGATGAGTCATCATACTTAGAATTCAGTCTCTAAAACACAGAACCGACCGCCCGTCATTCATTGTCAACAGGCGCCGGCTTACATTCATGCTGTCTGTGTCTGTGATGTTCAGTGATCTCTTTAGGCTGCTGCATTCGTTCTAATTATAATCTGTGATTTACGGGGATGTGTCATTCAGCTCTTTTCCATTTCAAAATGTGCACCAACACACAGATTATTAACCCTCTCATATCTCCTGAACGCTTTTATTTAAGTTATTATTTCCATTTTTCATTTTGATAATGAAATACTTTTTAAACTCAGAATTTACTACTGCGGTGCTGCAGTGTATTTTCCAAATGTTTCAAGCTAGTTACACACACCTGGCTGGTGTTGCATGTATAGTGGGTAAACATGGTAACATGAGGAGCATGGACGGGGCTGCAGGTGAGGTTTCACATTCCGGCGTCTGTCAGAAAAGATCGACCGACTTCTTTACAAAGAATTAACTCTAAATAATGATTCTGCACATTCTTGTAAAGAAATGTGATGTCACATGCTCCACATAATGATTATGCTTCTTGCTACAACCACAACATTAAGAGGACATCTTTTTCACTGGAATCTGAGGCCTAAATTAGACGTCAAACATCAGGAGGCCAGTGTAATACTGATCCAACTGGCTGTTCTCTCCTGGCAGAGGAGAGTGAATACAGATCAGAGGGCTCACTCTACTCAAAAAGATCCTCGACCCACAAGCCAAATAAGGGGGAAAAGCCAGCACCATAGAATGTCACCAGAAGAAAGTAAGTCTGAGCAGCAGGTGCAATAAAATACGACTCCCCGGGTGAACGCTTTCCGCTCCAGCGAGGTCTCCCTTTTCACCCTCAAGTAAACAAGGCTGTCTCGTTAGTCATCAGGTCATCATCATATCTGTTCTGTCGCATCTGGAGACTCCGGAGTTTAAGGAATAGTTTGTCATTTTGGGAAATACATGTATACTCGGTATCAATCTTCTCAGCTAATTCTCGGCGAGAAAGCGACTAAGCATGTTTCCCTAAATGTCAAACTATCCCTGTAACTTCTGCGACTGCAGTTCTGTTTCACAGATTCAATGCATTCACCTTACAGGAATAAAACGACATAATTCATTCTTTGTTGACATATTTTTGTAGTTTATGAAATACAGAAACGGTACAATAATATACAAGATATAATGCAGCAAATAATAAAATACATGTATAAGTCCTTATACAGGATTGCATATATTAAAATACAAGTTTGTGGCCTAAAGAAATACAGTTGTAACCTCAACATACTATTGACAATAATTATAATAACTAACACTGAACAAGTAGGTTATTATTCCTCACCTATGACACAGTCTTTGGTTATAAGTAACTTTAAGAGGACAAAGGAAATATGTACAACATTAGCATACAGTAGCAATGTTCCCCTTTTGAGAGACATAAGTCAACGAAGGTCCTCATGATGTAGCTACATTATAATGCTAATAAATGCACCATGAGAAGTGACAGGATAAAAGTAACAGTTCCTTCCAAATAAAAGTACATTTACAGTGCATTGCTACATCTATCATCTGGGATTACTGTGTTTTGTTATTGTTCTATTAGTATGAATAATTATGTTTACATTTTATTATTAGCAGTGCTACTTTAAACTGTGTGACAATAATTAATCGGCGACAGAGCCAGAGAGCTTTAAGTTTGTGAAAACATCATCTGTACGGATCTCCTGGTATTTCTAGTTTTATATAAACAAGCTTTTGTTCGACACCGTTCTAGTTATGATATGAGCCTCTAAAATCAACAACTTGAAGGTATTTCAGCAATGTAACTAAAAGAAGACGTGTTTGAAAACTGCTACCTTTCATTTACAGTCTATCTGCGTCAGGAGGCCCGCGTGCTGGCTGCACTTCTTGCTGCTATTTCTGACTGTGTTTATGAGACTGGTGGCTGGCTGGCTGGCCATTTACTGATTTGTTGAGGGTTGGGCACCAAGGCATTCAGTAGATGGTACTCGCTCTCAGTTGTTTCCCTTGGGTGATGCTTCCCGGCTGATATTAACACTCCAGTGTGACAGGATGTACATTTATGTTAGCAGTCTGAAAGTAGGGTTATTTGTGTGTGTTTTTTCATGTATCCGTTCTAAACTAGAATAGGGGTTATAGCATTTCTGAACATGATTAAGCTTTTCTTAACAGTTCAAACTGAAAAATAGAGGCTGAACTCTACTACCCTGACAGTGGACAGCTGTCAACTGTGAATCTCTGCAGACCCCACAGGTTATGAGAATAAGATCTCTTTAAAAATAGCATAAATGCAAATTAGACCTCAATTTAGAATAAGCAGATACAGTATGTTGCAAATAGGAAATCCAAATATTTGTGGACCAACTGTAACTGTTGTTATGGAGAAACAATTAAAATTTAAATTAATTTAATAGAAATTAGGATTTCTGAATAAAGTGAATTACAGTAAAAGTAAGATGAATCACAAAAGGCTGGGTTAATGATTCTGAATCCAAAATTACTTAAAATGGACTTGAATACAAATAATTATTGAAAAGAAAGCACCTCAACAGAAGCGCAGTTACTGCAAACACACATATTATTAATTGAACCGCACTAAGATCAGAAAAAAATATGGATAAATAAAATTGCATAAGAGTAATCCTTACAGTATCATCTCCCGTAAAGGCCGACAAAACCAAACCGGAATGTAAAACATAGCATACATTTTAAACATCTTGCAGTGATAATTAGGTGAGCTCTGCAAGCTCTGCATAAAAATAGCTTCTCTTTCAAGTAGCAACTTTTGTCCAACATCTTTAAAACTTCCAATCTTTGTAGTGTCATGATCCCAGTGCATAAAAAGCCACAGTTTAAGTAGTAGCACGCTGTTTTCAAGCTGTTTGTTTTCTCTGAGTAATTAGTGCTCAGAGTTACTGTTTGTTTATTTCTTTTGAGGGACTTGCATTCTTACGTGCACAGCAATTTCTTGCAGGGGCAGCCAATAGTTTGCTGTAAAAGTGACACTTTTGAAAATATTAAGAGCATTAATTGCCGTTTTTGATGATTGAGATAAATCCAATCATCAAAACATTTTAGGTCACAAAATATTCTAACCACATTTCTCCGCATTATCAGAATGTTTTGTGGCATTTTTAAATTGTTTTTTATCAAGACATTGCTCTGACAGTATATTTATTATCAACAGTACATGCCATCAGCTGTGAAAGACAACTAAAGCTTTAACTTTTGAATCTTGCACACATTCAAATCATAGATTTCTCTGTGTAGCAGCCACATGGGTCGAGACCTCACTGTCTTACCCTCCGAGCGATGCCACTGACTTTTACACCACCATAGGGGTATCGGAGCACACAGAGCTGACAGACTCTGTGTCAGACCTCCTTCTCTCCCTGTTGTCCCCCTGCCACTCCTCGTCTTCCTCGCCTATTGGGTTCAATCTCCCATTCTGCTCCAGCTGGTCCTTAGGTTGCAGAAAGGCGCCATGTTTGTTGGCGAACCCTCCGCCTTCCACTCTTTCTTGCCTCGTCTCCACGTGTGCGTGAGATATGCTAACAGTTGAAGAGTGGAGGCTGTCTCTGGGGCCACTTTTCTCCTGACCTGGACAACAAGCGTAGCGGCAAGGTGTGAGATAGAGGTAGATGAGAACCATAACTAAACTGACCAGACATCCTATGAGGGTGGTGTAGGCTGTTTTTAGGTTCTCCAGCCCCCCAATCTCTGTGGAATTAAACACCATTACAGTTACATACAGTGTCTCATTGAAGGATTCACTGGTGGCATAGCAGGTGTAGACCCCAGAGTCCTCCACATTCAGGGGCCCAATCTGGAGACTGCCATCTTCATGACGCATCAAAGCAGTCTTGTGTGCTGGAGTTAATGAGATGTTTCCAGGTAGCACCCAGCTCTTAGTCATGTTCCTCTCCCTAGTGTCACAGTCCAGGAATAGGAACTGCTCCAGGAAGGCTTCTTTGTCCATAGCCGTGACCTCACTGCAGTTCAAATACACCTTGTTCAGATCCAGTATGGCAATTTTCTCTTTCTGCTGGCCGGGTACGACACAAGTGTGGCTGCCCCTAAAGTCTGTGGCAGAGCTGAGCTCCTTGAGGTACCAGCGTGCCACCATTGCATGCACCTCACAGCTGCAGGGCAGAGGGTTGTTGTGGAAGTACAGGCCATTCGTGATCCAGGCGGGTAGAGCCTGAAAGTCATTGAGGGGCAGGGCTTTGATTCGATTAGAGGACACATCCAGCAGTCTAAGAGATTCCAGACGGCTCCGATCCTTCACCAGCTCCAAGGGGAAGCGTGAGATCTGGTTGTGGCTCAGGTAGAGCCTCTGCAGGTTGTTGAGACCAGAGAAGGCAGTGCGATCTATCTGAGAGATGCAGTTGCTGTAAAGCAGCAGCACCTCCAGGTGCTCAAGCGGCTCAAAAATGAACTCATCCAGCTGGCGGATGCAATTAGAGGAAAGGTCCAGGTATTGAAGCTTTTTCACATTCGCAAAGGCCTCAGAGGAGAGGAAGGTGAGGCCGTTGTGGCTAAGAAGCAGGCTATGTAGTCTGCTGAGTGGGACGGGGGTCCACTCAGCACGTAGCCTGGTGATGGTGTTGAAGCTAAGGTCCAGAACAGCTGTATATTGTGGAAGAGTGATGGGAACGTTGGTTAGATTAATCTTAGAGCAGCTGACGATGTTACTGGCACAGACACAAGTCTTGTGGCAGTCCAGTCCTATTAATTGGGCACTGACTCGTACTGTTGGCAACAATAAAGCCAGAGGTAGAACTGCGATGAAGCTCCTTCCTCTGAACACCGCTTCAGTAGCACCATGGGAAATCCAGAGTGACCCCCCCATCGTGTCAGGATTATAAACTATAGCAGTCTGGATGTCTTCTAGTCTTCGGAGGAGATTCGTGGAGCTGTATGGACAATGAGATCAATAAATCAGCACTGTTTTACAGAGGATCCAAATGAAAGATATTTTGTCCTTAATGCTCATTGCATCTCATGCTCTAATGCACCCAGGGGTGCATTTCAGAAGCTCTTCACTAGACACCTGCTTTGAATGTTATCAGCTGATTGAATGGGGGATATAAGCGGTTGTCAGCCTCAGAGATATGGGTTAGAAGGAGCCTGTTACACCTACTAGTAGGTTCAGAAGGCCGTTATCATCGATTCACATAGTTGATCACCAATAAGGATACAAGAAGATGCCGCCGACCTCTAGAAACCGTAGTAACTATGACAGGAGCGATGGATGGGTCAAACAAACGGGAGATGTATGGGTCAAACAAACACAGAACTTTGACTCTGAAGACTGCTGTTTGTGTCCTTGCATGAATGTATAAAGGGAGCTGAATACAGCATTAGAGGCGGGCCCCCGTTCATTTCAATGAAAGTTGCTCAGTTACATGAAGCCCAAAAAACGTAATTGTATAAAATTACCCGAATCTTCGGCATCCTCAGACCACATGTCTCTTCCGCGAAGTAAGCCTATGGGAACACCTTTTTGGGCCCAATGGCAACACTTGATGGGCCTTGAAGTTGTAAATCCACGCTTTGGCCACTATGTCAAATTGGCTTCAAAGCCTTCAGCTCATCTTTGGGGTTGTTTGTCGGTTAGATTTGCAAAATCTTGCGAAAACTCAAGTAAGCCTCACTGCCTGAGTCGCTAACCTCAACCATCTCGCCAGAGTTTTACAAAATCGAGGGCTACCATCTTGACAGGACCCTGGCTGGGGGCTTGGTCCTGTGTGAAACCAAAAGCGGATGTTGATTTATTTAAATTAAATGTATTATACATAAGTTATATAACAAGCATACTTCGTTTTTTTTTTCAAAACCACAATATTTTCCTAAACCTAACCAAGTAGCTTTGTTGTCGAAACCTAAAGTTGTTCCGTTTCCATTCACAACATTAAGTTTCGCTTTCACAACGTGCTCGGTGCAATGTGGCCCGTTTGAAGCGTTTAGATAACGCCCATTCAGTTGGCTGACAATGATATGGGTGCACAAAGATGGTCAAAAGGTTACGGATGATGGATGTGCAGCAAAAAATGTCGTCATAACACAATTGATGAATTTGCAAAATTAATCTCGGCATCATATAAATGAAAAAAAAAAAACACATTCTATCGATATCCAGAAAGATTATTAACATGCTGCAGTTTGTGTGATCCGCCTCATCCGAACATCATCAAATCTCCTCAGTGTGTCAGACACATTTGTCCCAGCAGGCTGAGGTGTCCCTCACCGCTCGTTCCTTTACCTTGTGTTGCTTTCTAAAGATCCGAAGAGAAAAGAGGGGAGTCTTCAACAGTCCGGTCTTGGAGGCGATCCGCTACAGGACAGTCTCATCCTCTTCATCACAGCAGCAGCGATCACCAGAACGCACAGAATGACCGGAAATCAGTGCGGTCCGCACCGATGAGGAAATGCAGCCATCTGATAGTAGATCAGAGGGGCGCAAACAGCGGAGCAGGGGGTGTGTCCCTGTCCCTCTCAGCATTCATAAGTAATAGACTATATAAGGCTACACTTCATCCTCAGATAGTCAGGTGCTCTGTGATTAAGCTCACAGCCATAACAGCAACATGTCAAGTTAAATGATGATTTCCATGCAGTGTGGTAAACATCTGGACTGTCTTTGAGATGAGCTCCAGAGCGATGCAGGCTGGTTTTCCCTGTTGGTTATTTCTTCCCCCTTGCTCATTACATTATTATATTTTCCATTATCATGATGCCTCTTTCTTAAGACACAGGGGAGACCTAAGGGATGATGTCATTTTTCCTTTCACTTTATAGCAATGTCCCATTCAGTGCGATGCTGTCTTTAATGATGAAGCCCTCCCCTGTGGTTCATCTTATCACTCTGGTGAAGGACAGGGCAAACGTGTGAACTGCAGCTGCAGCAGTCTTTAACACAGCACGTGATGTGCATGCAGCAGTGTGCGAGGGATCAATATCAGCAAGCCGTTTAAATAATAGCTAAGGGTCTTGTCCCATGAGCTTTTAATACAGTCACTTCATTACATCGGTAAGATTTATACATGATGCCATAGCTTGTATACCGTTTATTTAAGTTAATTAATTCAGACTCTTTCCACCTTGAGTTGGCCAGCCTGTCTTTGTTGGAGTTTAGCAACATTTAAGCACAAAACCAAAACAATGAAGGTCTTTTTGGACACTGCTGGCACAAAAGATGGTTTTGAACACAACGTTGTCATATCATCGTCGTTCAAGTTTATGTGGTGAACTTGTTAGCAAACACTTGTGATATTTACACATCCAGCTGTTCCACATCCAACATTATCATTCATGTGGATGTGTCCACTCTATTCACTCTCTTTAAGCTCTGGATTTTGTCTCCAGCACCTCCTGAGGGAAATATCTGGCTCTTTTGTTGCTAAATGCTCCACTATGTTCACCATCTAGTGGATAACGGTGTCTGTCTGCTGTTTAGTGCTGATCAGGTATCGAACATGGGTTTTAGGGCTTTTTTTCTGCAAGCAGCTGCCTGCAGAAAACGACACTATGAGAGCAGTGAGTATGAACCAAATCAGTAAAGTTGTGGTCAACAGCGAAACAATGAGCTGAAACTCCCCGTCTCCATAAACGCTGCAGATTCAAATGAAATTTCATATTGTCATTTGATACATTTTTTTTTTTAATGTTGATTATAGCTGCTTTAAAATTGGATTTTGACACAAGAACCCAAGATTAGATAATAAACCAGGACCAACAGTACATTAAGGTCCTTGTCCCATATGTGGATATTGTCCTGAATTAGATCATCCCAGGTGACACAAAGTTAGCCCTCTGTGGTCCCATGCAGGGCATGGTGCCAGCTTTGCCCGGTTGGTAATCTGACTGTGATAGTAGTGCAATGTTATTCACACCAGCTGGCTTGGGATATAGTTTATACATAGTCCACTGCACATTTACTGCAACTAAACTGGCTACACTCATTGTGTTGATGAGATAACTTGCATTCAGTAAGGAAGACTCAAAACACATCACATACAGTAGAAGGCAGTTTCATTCATGTTGAGGGTTACATTTGATATCAGGCAGACAAGTAGACAGGAAAATTAGCATGCAGGACACAATAGCACAAATCAACATGAAAAGGCTATAAAGTAGCACTGCAGTAGCACGGCGACACACATGCTGAAAACGACAAGAGGAATGCCAGAACACACACGCCGGGACTGTGATTGGAGTCTAAAGCTGAAGAAGGTGAAAAGGGCAACGATGCAGAAGTCAACATGACATATGACCATCCGGCTCATGTACATTAAAATACCTTGTTATCAATCTTCTGAGCACAAGGTCAAATCCCAGAGACACCCTCACATAAGAGGACACGTGAGGATTAAATGGTCCACAGGTCAGGTTGCTATGGCTGCCAAGGGTAGGACGTGATGGTGGAGAATGCAAACAATGTGCAGTACGAAATGATTGTCATGTAACGGGTGAAGAGAGTGAACACAGAAGAGACCTTATTACGTCAGCTGGAAGCAAAAGCTCAACGTGCAGCACTCGACATTGACACGCAAGTCTGTGATTAAAAGGATTAAACTGTGACAAGATTTTGGACAAGATTTCAATGGTGGATCGAGTCACACTGTGAGTATCCACTTACAGGACCATGTGACTTTGTCCAGATCGTCCACATCATGTCAAACGAAATAATCAACAAGTCAAAATATTACATAATAATTAAACCGACCTTTGTTATGAACAATCTACAGAATTGGCTGAAAAGTTCTACTCAAAGCTGTTCATGTTAACTTGTAAAGGAAATGAAGTCACACAATTCGTACTCTCAATTTTTTATAGTTTTTTTTTGACATTTAAATGCCATCATGGCCTTGCAGAAATGATCGCTTTCCTGTTAAATGAAACCAGATTACTCAAGGTCAAAGATACTTTGAATTCTAAGCATCAAATAAATCTGTCTGACCAAAGCATCAAACTGACAGCCACACATGACAAGATAAATTAGCATTTTATATTTAAAATCCATTTAGAAGCTTTCTACTAATGGAGGATGAACACTTTTAACATAACAAGCAAGAATGACGACACTTTAAACAAAAAGATCTTAGGAAAGTCTATGTGGAGTCTTTCCACCGCTGGCAAATGCTAAATTTAGCCTTTACTTCCTTCTGAAACATTCTTTAAATAATTTACAATGGATAAGATCCAATGCATTCAGGGATGTGATGAATGCGTCAAAACTTGGATAATTATAAAAGCTCGATCAAATGTTTGCACAAATGAACTCTTTCAAATGAGAAATTGGCTAAAACCTTTATGTCCTTCTGGAGAATGCTGTGTAAGGATCAGCTCATGGTGTGCTATCATCATTAAAGGTGCATAATACGAGATTGGGAGCGACGCCTGAGCTGTAGTCTCATAGCTAACGATGCTAATAGCGGTAAAGAAGCGCACTACAGTAAACTTGCTGATAGAGCTGACAGTGTTTGCCTGAGGGGGAACCGGAGGATTGGTGCTACTCTTCTGCGACAACACTGTCGAATGAAGGCTGCGTTATTATATATGGACGCTGTATGAGAGCAGTGCAGAGCTAACCAGTGGGGGCACGCTCACATGCACTTATATGCCCTAAAAGCGCGCACGGCCGGCCCGGCCTGACAACAAATCAAGGAGAAGCTCTGATAACAACACACACAGAGGGAGAATGACTTCAATCTCTGCTCAGGGAAACATTCCTCCACTTTATCTTTACAAGTTGTTTGCTGCTATATTAATGCTCTGAATGTCATATATTACTTAAATCTTTTGGTCAGATGACTTTAGGGGTCCATGCTTACATCCTCTACTAAATTAGTTTGCATGTCATTAGCCGAAATGAGTTTGCTCCGTAGGGTGGCCGGGCTCAGCCTTAGAGATAGGGTAAGGAGCTCGGTCATCAGGAGGGAGCTTGGAGTCGAGCCGCTACTCCTTCGCGTCGAAAGGAGTCAGCTGAGGTGGTTCGGGCATCTAATTAGGATGCCTCCTGGACGCCTCCCACTGGAGGTTTTCCAGGCACGTCCAACTGGGAAGAGACCCCGGGGAAGACCCAGAACACGCTGGAG